GATGAGCCCAGGCTTCACCCTCAGAGAGGCCATGGCTGTCAGACCGTTTCTGGCACGCTCAAACAGAATGAACCCCGCTTTCTGGGCCCAAAGCCGTGACCTGTGCTTCTAGAAATCATGTCGTTTGGGGCGGGATAGTTTACTCAGGCCACTGTTGCCAACTAAGCTCGCAGCACGAGAGTCCCTGTCAGGGATGTCAACATGGGGCCCAAAAGCACCGTCACATTTATCCAAAAATTCATTCCCGCCAAATAGTGAGTTGTCCCTTTGCACTCTCCCAATTCTGCAACAGGGTGGTGCCCCACATCTACTGCAAACCTGTCTGCCCCTATCACCCTGAAAGGCCGAGTTGTGGACGGCGAACCCATTGCCTTGTTGGTAAAAGCCTGTCCGCATTGTGACCACTATGTCCACGGTCCAGAAGGTTGCGACAAAGGTCGTGCAATACCTTGCAATGGTGTCCAGGCGCGAAACCTTCAAGAATCCCAATGCGCCACCTATTTCAGCATCCGGTGTGTCACGAACCTCTCCGAATTCCACGCTGAACTCTGGACATCTTATCGCGCCAGGCAACGAGGCATCGAGTCTCCCGAGCAAGTTGCTTGCCAATACGCGAGAACTTTTGCGTTGCGTCCGTAATTGATGCAGTGGCCCTGCCTCCCCTGACCAACTAGTTGGAACCACGCTTCCAAGACCTGCACCCGGCCAAGTCACAGAAGCCAGCCCTTCATGGGGAAGTCCCAGGCGATGGCCACGGGTGTGACGCACAAGTCGTAGAGCAGAAACACCATAGCACAGAGGTCAAACCTCAAAGGCCGCCACGTCCGACTCACACAGTACTCTTCGGCTCAAGGCCTTCTTGCAAAGAAAAATCAACACTGAGGTGGAAAGTTCAGGGCATGCGTTCAGCAGCCTGCAGGCCCCAAGACTGCAACAACGTTTGAATACGCGCTGCCTTGAATGTCAAATACCGGAACTCTCCGGTCCTGGCCATTCCAGGCGAAGCGTTTCAGTTGTCGTGCGCCTTGCTTTGGTTGCCACGAAGCTTGTAAAGATTGGCTGTTGCTGATGAATGGCACCGCACTGAGCGGGTGAGGAGCAGTTTTGGGGCAAGGGCACATTTGGTTGTTCGGATTGGCGGACGTCTCCTGACCCCCGTGCTGTGGCATGCAAAAGTGAAATTCTGTCATCTCAGCGCTTTGCCGACATGGAGTGACTCGAGGGACTTGCTTGACAGGGCACACACTTGCCGAATTGACTTCGCTGGCAAAATAGCTTTAGCCAAGCTAGGGACCAACTCCCCCGAACCCCTTTCCCTTCGCACTCTCGCCCCTTTCACCCACCAATTTGGCTGAGGGTCACGATGCGCTTCTTCGAACTGGGCTCCAGAATGCACGACCCAAACCTGGCGCCAAGTTGCGCTTCCGAGACCTCCCTCCGAGCATCACGCGGCGCCCGTTTTGGTGTCGTGGTGTATGTTGTCATGTGCGGAGAATTCAGATGGTCCAGCGGGCATGTTGGAAGTGCATGGCCCAACCTTGGCCCGTTCCGTGTTGGGCAAGGTCTGCCCGGTGCGAAATCAAGGGTTTGCCATGCAAGTGTATATGTGGATATTTGTCGCTGCCCTGTAGTCTCGAAAGGATCATGGAGAGGACAATATAACTGTTTGTGTAGCAACTTTGCCAGCACCTCTCATTCAGGATCCGTCCCCGCAAACCGCCGGGGGTCCATTTAAAAGCCTGAGAAATTGCGACATGCTCCCACTCGCGGAAGCCCCAGCAGCAAACGGAGCAATTGGGAGGCAAACACTGCACTGTCCAAGAACACCGCATGGCTGAGGAAAGCCATGTGATTTACAAACCTGCAACCCATTCCCCGGCCCCATGTCCGCAGGCCCGACGCCTTGATTGAAAAGAGGTCTTGCCCTCTTGAGGTTGCGCAGATGTCACCTTCAAGGTCATCCTCGGCTTGAGTCGGGGGAGGCTGAGCCGAGGGATCTCCACATTGGCAATGCCCTGTTCTTTTGGGCACGGCAAATGGCTAGAATCTCAAGGTTTCAGGCAAGAAACCGCTCCATCAACGTCCTTAGCTGCACAGCACGGACGCCTCGAATGTGGTCGATTTGGAGGCTGCATCACTTAATTATCCATTCTTCCCCCAACGTAATCATGCTTTGGTCACCGCCCTGAAAAACGGGTCCAGTTCCAACGTCATTCGAAACCTGAAACCCTCATTTGACTTTCACGCAGCTGATGTCGAACGTCTCCCAATGTCGTTGGCAGGCCCCAGCCAACCTTTCAGCCGGGCTTCTGCGTGGGCAGCTTTGCTATGGCAGAATCTGGGGATTCTGGCAGCAAACCAAATTTTCGGCAAGGAATGCCTCGGATTCTGGAAAAAACTGCTGTCCGCTGTGTTTCGGAATGCGCCGACTTGCACATAGCTGGCCTTGCCTTGCCATCAAGAAAGTCTTGCTCACGTGAGGGCTCTTTTCCAGGCAAGCAAGACAGCTTTGTTGCTTAATTTATCTATGATTGATGCTGAAGGTCTTATTAAACAAACTCACGCTGGCAAACAACCAAAACACCCAAATGGCAAGCACCAAGCCGAGAAGCAGTGAGGCCAATCTGCTGCAAGGGTGGGGGCCTCCCCTGAACGCGAGGGAAATGTCGACTTTGGGAACCCAGCTTTTAGTGCTGCGCATGTCCAGCCAGCATCTACCCTTGCATCATGACCTAATGTGGGTTGCAGTGCGCGTTTTTGGATGTGGGCTTGTGAAGTTGACATGCATGATGCTGACTGACTGTGCATTATATGCTTCAGAATGAACATGCAGCTAGAGACATCTCGAACCAACACCCCAACAACGCACCCTGAACACAAAAACTCAAAGCTGCCCCAAACAAATCCTCTAGCAACCCTGATTGGCCCCACAGCCTCTGTAAACCTTGCTCGGTGCTTTGGGTGGGATGCACCGCCCCCGAAATGACCCCCCTGAAAGCTACGCGAGCAACAGGCGTGTAGAGCAAAGGCGGGGGCAGAAATATGGGTGCAAAAAAGGACAAAAAACTAGACTGTACCTTTTGCAGCCGCGGCTCCTTCGAAAGACACGAGACGACAACTCTCAAACCGCTACTTGTAGCTCAACACCCCAGCCCCCCCCAAAAAAAAACAAACGCCAACCCACACCCAACGCTCAACAAGTGGAACGGGCTAACAGAGTGGAAAATTGGGTTGGGAAAATAATGATCATGCTGCACATCAGTTTCACGACGCTCAAGTTTGAGCTTGCGTGGTACATGTATGGTCACCTGATCTTCATGCACCTTCCCAGCTGCCTGCAACACTGGCCGGCGGCAGGAGGCCATCATCGTTTTCCTGCACCGGCAGAGGCTCGTTCAACCAAGTGCCCCATTAATTCTGCAGGGCAGGATGGGACTTGTTGAGGCATGTGATTGATGACCAGCCATCGGCCGTCTCCGCCCCATCGTGACAAACACTAGACACTGGGGCAACATGGAAAGACTGACTAGGAACACTGAACACCAAGAAACACCCTTGAACTGGGCAACACTAACCACAACACTGGAACACAGGGCCCTCTGGACCGAAAACACTGACGGGATAACGCTGGAACATGGAGTCAAGTCAGCACGTTGCTTTGAATCTGAAAGGCGCCCATGCACATTTCAGCTCTAGCGAAGGGGCCGATGGGCGGTCTGGATCGAAAAATGGCGCGAAGGTGCTATTTGGACTGTGGGCATTCCCAGAACTATGCCAATGGTGCCACCCCTGCCTCCCACTGCATGCTGCCCGTGCCAGTCATCCAACTCACCATCCTTAGGTGGCTGACATGCTGTCAGGGTATCAAAGTGGGAACCCTGGCCGTACTGCATTATGACCGGGGAAAGCTAGAAAGCTTTCAAGAGAAGCGCTCTGCAACCAAGGATGCCTTGCTGTGGCCAACGAGTGCTTTGGGCACTGAGCGCGTGGTTGCAAGCAGGCTTTCACCCGCGAGACCTGCCTTCGCCGTGTAAACAGCCACAACCTGTGAACTATCAAGCTTTCTGCCCGCCTTCGACATTTGCGTTGCCTGGCGAAATTGAGGACAAACAAAGCAGCGCCCAGCACTGCAACTGTGCGTTTCCATACGAGTTGAGTTTGACTACGGCCTCACAAGCTTGGCACAAGCTTGGCAACTAGACCCCTCAAGACTGCACAAATGGAGTGGCCAACCCCTCGGCCAAGTATCTTCACACCATCGTCTGAGCCGATGTCCTTAGCACGCGTGAGGTGGAGAGGGGGGGTGCAAGAAAGCCGACAACACATGCAAGCTGCTTAGTGTTTGAAGCCAAACCCACGCTGGAGTAGGGGCCGGTCCACCTCTTTTTCAACTACAACATCAATCTGCTGCCCTTTCAGCTCTTGGTTTCTCACTTTGAATCCTGATGTTTATCTGCAGTGCAGGGTTGGGTGGGTCGAAAATCAAGCTCTTCCAAAACCACCATCCCAACAGCCACGCCAACTATCCTACCTGCAAGCCAACCAACTACAAACTTAGTCATAATCAAGACCTGGTATTAAGATTGTGTACCAAAACCATGCAAAGAATTGGATAACAAACAAACAAAAAAGCTCTAGGAATGCAACACTGTTCACATATTTATACAATAGCGTAGATTTGTTAGTTTAAGCATTCTCGGTGCTTCAAGCATTCTGCAAACAAGGCACAGCGGCCTTATTGAGTTTGTGGCAATGTGTTTATGTGATGTCGTTCGAGCCTTATTCCATGCAACTGCTTTTGGGATGTACGATTTGCTCAAGCCTGGGTGGTCCGAGGATTCCAGGCAGCTAAACGCCCTCTGCGCAGCCGTGGAACACTTGACTGAAAGTGTGAGGCGTCTCCACGCATGTCGAAATATTTCTCTGAACTCACGCAGCCTTGTTCCCGAACGCTTCAATCCCAAGAATGAAATCTCCTGCAAAGAAAGCCTCGTTGGCAACTCGTTGGGTCTGGTTCTAATTTTGCCCCAAGTGGCGAAGCTGAGGGCGCTGGCCTTCCTTGGCATGGGGGACGGCATGGGGGATGCCAGCGGCGACCGTGTGGAGCTGTCATCCTGAGCCAGGGATTCTGCTTTGATTGGGCATCTGCCTGTAACATTACACATGAACTTGAGTTTAGGCGCATCTTCAGGATGTGTGGCCTGTGGCTTCCCTTACATCATGCGCTAGGTGTTGGGCTCATGTCTGTCTTGCCTGACTTGTCCCTTTTATTCAAGTGCAACAAGCTTCCGAAGTGCCAAAAAAGAACAGTTCTTCCACCAAAAAACAAAAGGAAGTGGGCGCTCTGGAATGCGTTCTTGTTCGAGTTGGGGACTCCAAACCTTCTTGCACACGGCCCACGAAAACCCGGGTTTGGAAGTGAGAAATTGTCCAGAAGACACGCAAACAAATGGAAAGGTCCAAGTCAGCATGTTGCAGCACCACTCGCTCTCCTCCTTGGCTGCTTTGTTGTGCGATGTGGCCTGCCGAGGCCAACTGCAAACCGCCAAGGCTTGGAGTAGATTGCATTTGTTCGCCATTTTGGCACGGCTCTTTGACAGCCTGCGCAGGCGACCAGTGCTGCAACTCAAAGACTGTAGAGGCTCTGGCTGGAGTGGTGGGTTGAACTCGTTGTCCCTGAAAAGCGCAAATACATTCCACATTTGCAGCCATGCAGATTCACACACACAAAACTTGGAGGGGCACCTTCTCACAAAGGACACTGCTATGTCGCGAATCCCCTTCTGCTACGCTGCGAAATCTTTGGCCGGCCTTTGCAACCGAGGGGGGCATGAATGCAAGTCCTACCCTATGCCGTGGCCTTGTCGGAGTTCTGGCTCAGGCGCTTGTCTGTGATCTGGCTGACCTTCTTCCTCAGCTGGCATTCGATGAAGTAACCCGCATAAATAAACTAACTGTTGTGATGACGCTAGGCAAAACAGCCGACCCCCAGCAAAGTAGCCCAAGATATCCTGATTTGATTCTCTCACGCCACAATCATCAGGGCTTCTTATCCATGGGATGTCAGAATCTCGCAGCAGTCAACTCGCCAGATTCGAGTCGCTCCAAACCCAGCAGGCGGTCTCCATGGAGGCGCTGCTCTGAGGCCAGCCCATCCAAACACAGCTCAATGCGTGCCTCGCGGATCGGCAGCGCATCAGAACGCGGACCGCTGCCAGTTGCCCAGATTGGATTTGACGGCGCCATCTTCAAAACCACGCTGTGCCACAACTTGAACATGAAACATGGGGGGACATTCAAACCTGCTGGAGGCAAACACGTGCCAAAAAGTCAACAAAGTGAACGACACTGCTCGTGGATGTGGGCCCCTATCAAGATCATTGGCAGATTCCAGCCTGCCCACTGACTAACGCCTCCACCTGCCCAGGGAAAAAACAAAACACGTACTACGTCGCTGTCAATCAAAGCCAAGCTGAGCATTTGATTTGCAAAAAAGTTGAGAAAGCTGTCCCCTCACAAGCGCTGAGCCCCCCGCATTTGCAAGCAACTGCTGCATGTGGTCCGCCATGTTTATGCATCACTCGGTGTAGGGTCTTCTGTCTTACCAGGTCAATCTTGCACTCTATTGGTTGACAGTCAGGTCTTGGTTGCATGTCCACCACATGCAAAACTGCAATTCCAGAAGGAACCTATTGCGGGCTTAATCCGTGGAACTCTTGCAGTGAAACTGACTGACTGACAAAAGGCCAAACATCGCAGCGGCACAACAACAACAACAACAACAGGGCGCAGCAAACAAACAGGGCCAACATCCACATTGAGTTTATGTGTTACGTTGTTTCCCGTTTTTTCTGTCACGCAACGCCTTTCCCCGGAGAGCATAGCCGCCCGCATCCTGTACAAGGGCGTTCGCTATCAGTGCGCAAATCACGGGAACGCAAGCAGGAATTTTGCAATACAACATGGCGTCAAGCAAAGAGACATGTTGAGCCCGCTCTTTTTCAATGCTGGGCGAATTCAGCATGCAAGCAAACAAACGGCTTCAATGTTGGTTTAGATTTAGATAGAGGTACCCGGAATGACTCACGAACATCCGTTGCGGACGATTTGATGCTATATGCCAAACCCCGACCAGAGAAGGTCATGATGATGGAACTATTGACTCAAAAGTTGGTGCATGGCAGGCCTCAATTGAACATGTGCAACACAAAAGTGTTTACAACTGCTGCGCAGGACCAGCCGCCATTGTTGTTTCGCGCGACTTTTTTCAACATCCAAGCAGGCCATTTGTATACCGGAGACCCAAGGTGGAGTGCGCAGTGGCACTGCCGGCAAGGCCCTCACCGTGGGAGCCTGCTAGCGACAGGGCGAGGAGCGAGGGGAAGCGTTGGCCGGCAGATTGAAAAACCGCGCAAACCGTGTCTTCCACAGCAGGCGTTGCCACCCGGTAGCCAAAACGGGCGCCTGCTCGGGCTCTGCGGACAAAGTGGGGGAAAGGGGCTCCGGCAGGAGGGGGCTGCCAAACAGGGAGCGCAAGGCGGCAACTGCACTGGCTGATTGGAGGCAGAGGGGCTGGCGCGCAGGGCCGGGTTACGTGACCTCGCCTCCTGCAAAGCAATGGGACACCGCTGCCGAAAGCGGCAACACAATTGTCGTGTCGACCGCAAGCTGCGCTCCATTCCGCGCGCGCAATGACCTCGATATGGCGGTCGTCAGAACGAGCAAGTGCCACATTCAGGTTGCGCACAAGTGTCTTACAAACACAGGTTCCCTCCTCCCTGCAAACACGAGCCCCCCGTTCGAGTGGGCATCCCCGATTCCGCAAAACACCAGACCAAGCGCAGGCTGCAGCTGCTCGGTGATCGCCTAGCGGGTTGAGCGGCAAGGGGAGGCACACACATGCATGCATAGGGAAAGTATATAGTGAAATGCGCGGCGATCTTGCTTTCCATTTCGCACGAGAGGAAACTTGCACGCTTTTTTGAAATTAGTATCTTAGAGCGGCGCGGTGGGACCAAGCCCCCTGCGAAAATGAGACCCTGGTCGATGTGCAGTTGTTTTTTTGCGATTCTTGCACCCTATCGGCGTGGTCGATGTGCAAGAACTGCGTGTTTTTTTCCCGATTCTTGCCGTGCAGGGACCGGTGCGGTCGATGTGCAAAAACTGAGGGTGTTTTGCGATTCTTGCCGTGCACGCGCGAAATTGTGGGGATCGATGCGGGCGATGTGCAAAAACCGGAGGTATTTTTTTGCGATTCTGGTGCACGCGCAATCGTGCGCGCGCGACCCTCTGCGGGGATCGTGCGTGTCAGACCGCTCGCTATGTTCCCGTGCAAATCTTCGCGCTTCGCGCGCGCGCGACCCTGTGCGGGGATTGCGCGTCTCAGATTGCTCGCGCTGTGGTCTCGTGTGAATCTTCACGTATCTTCGCGACCGTCTGCAGGGATCAGGCTGCAAAGTCGCAACTTTTAAGTACAAAAGTAGTACGCAAAGTACGTCCCCCGCAGCTCCGGCTGCAAAGTCGCAACTTTTAAGTACAAAAGTAGTACGCAAAGTACGTCCCCGCAGCTCCGACTGCAAACTTGTAACTTTTTAAGTACAAAAGTAAAAAGTAGTACGCGAAGTACGTCCCCGCAGCTCCGGCTGCAAAGTCGGAAAGTACACCGTGACATGCATGGAGGCATGCATATAGAAAGCGCACAGTAAAATGCATAGAGGATTGCATAGGGCAAGTACAGGATGAAATGCACAGAAGCATGCGTAGGGAGAGTGCACAATGAAGTGCACAGATGCATACACAGGGAAAGTAGACACGCACAGACTTGACAGTGAAATCCACCGAAGCATGCACAGGGCAAGTACAGTGAAGTGATGTTGCGCATAAAGTGACACGCAACAAGTACAGAGTGAAGCTCATAGATGCGTGCGCCGGGAAAATAGACAGTGAAATGCATAGAGGCATGCACAGGGAAAGTAGACAGTGAAACGCATAGATGCATGCACAGTCAAAGTAGACAGTGCCAGTGCCGGTTTTTCCTTCTCGCGCGCCTTTTTTTCCGACTGCATGTCCTGTGGCTCACCCCCGGAAACTCTGCTTAAAGGGGCGCCCCAAAACACTGGGGGACTTGGGCTGTTGCTGTGAAACCTAGCCTGCCCACACGCAGCGCCGATGTTGACCGGTCAGCGTCCGGCTGAGCCGCAACATGCTCTGGGTCGCCCAGCGGCGCCCCCAAAACAGTGATGCCGCGCTGGGCTGCCGGCAGGGAGGGGTCGCCAAGCCACACTGGGTCGCTGCCGCTGCCTCACGGCCAGAAGCATTCCAAACACGCGTCTTACCAGCATGCAGGCGAGGCGGATCCGCAAGTGAGTCTCAAGGTGCACAGACAAGGCATCGAACACGGGGCGCACACGGTCAGCAGATCCTCTCGGCAGCTTTTGTCTCGCTTGCTTTGCCAAACATGAGGCATTCGAGTCTTCCTGCTTTTGCCTCCATCTTTGTTGCCACCTTGCGCCGTTTGCTCCAGCAGCCGCCAAGCTCACTCGCAGAGCACCAACGAGCCTTTTGCTTCCCCCAAGAAAACCGCACCCCAGACCGCAACCAGAAAAGAGAAAAAAAGAATGGGTAAAACAAGGCCTTACAACTCACAACAGCAGCCCCTCGCTCTCTCACGCTCATTTGTCAGGGTCGTCGGTTTGAATTGGAGTGTCAGCGCTTGGTCTTTGCACAGGCCTTGTGCTGCCTGAACTTCTTCAGACTTATACACTTGCTGTGGCAATGAAAACACACTGCTGTCTGGCCCTGGCAATCCAGACTTTGTCTGGACACTTGTCTGAGGCTTTTGCAGCAAAGCATCCCAGCCATGAACGCCCCAAGCAGTTCGAGAACCATTGCTAGCTCAAACGATGTCACCTGTCAAGCTGCGGACATGGAAATAAAACATCACACTTCCCACCCTGGTCAAATCGGGGAGAAACAAACCACGCCTCACAGATTCCAGAACTGTCTTGGCGATCTCTTGCGTTGCCGCCACCGACAAAGATCCGCGGCCCATGTGCTGGCCAAGCACCTCTCTGACCTCTTCAGATAGTCCGTACTGGAAGCACCACTTCAGCAGCGTTGCTTTCAACCCGTGTGATGTGAGTCGACCAGGCCCTCGTGCATCACGCGTTCCAAGCGCCGCATTCAGCCAACTTGTGACTTCGTCAGTAGATAGCGCTGTCCATCCAACCCACATCAGAGGTTGGAGCCGGTTGAAGGGGCCCTGACAAGCGCAAGTGACGCGCTCTTTTGTTCGATCGACTTGGAGCCTCCGGTTCATGCACAGGTTTCCATGATGTGTGGTTGGGAGTGACGGTTTTTCACCTGAATCTTGACATGCTGCCCTCACTCCCCTCACACACAAGATAATGCCATAATGCTGGCATTCCGGGCTCGTATGACACACGGTGCCTGTCTTGCACACCGTGACGCTGCGCTGCACCTTTGGCTCAGCTCAGCTCCACCGTCCTTGGGTTTTTCGGTGAGCTTGTTGAACCTCTTTTTTTCCCGAAAGCATCGCGAAGGGTTCTTCCGTGCGGAGCCCTTGGACAAGTTACATAGAGCTAAGTCATACAGAGCCAAGTTACATAGAGCCAAGTTACATAGAGCCAAGTTACATAGAGCCAAGTTACATAGAGCCAAGTTACATAGAGCCAAGTTACATAGAGCCAAGTTACATAGAGCCAAGTTACATAGAGCCAAGTTACATAGAGCCAAGTTACATAGAGCCAAGTTACATAGAGCCAAGTTACATAGAGCCAAGTTACATAGAGCCAAGTAACATAGAGCCAAGTTACATAGAGCCAAGTTACATAGAGCCAAGTTACATAGAGCCAAGTTACATAGAGCCAAGTTACATAGAGCCAAGTTACATAGAGCCAAGTTACATAGAGCCAAGTTTCATAGAGCCAAGTTTCATAGAGCCAAGTTACATAGAGCCAAGTTACATAGAGCCAAGTTACATAGAGCCAAGTTACATAGAGCCAAGTTACATAGAGCCAAGTTACATAGAGCCAAGTTACATAGAGCCAAGTTACATAGAGCCAAGTTACATGAGCCAAGTTACATAGAGCCAAGTTACATAGAGCCAAGTTACATAGAGCCAAGTTACATAGAGCCAAGTTACATAGAGCCAAGTTACATAGAGCCAAGTTACATTGAGACAAGTTACATAGAGCCAAGTTACATAGAGCCAAGTTACATAGAGCCAAGTTACATAGAGCCAAGTTACATAGAGCCAAGTTACATAGAGCCAAGTTACATAGAGCTTAGAGCTTCGGCGTTAGCAAGCTATGTAAGTTAGTTTAGGTTTCTATGGGGCCGGGGCGGGAGTTTGATCGTTGATCTGCGCGCGCGACCTACTGCGGAGATTCGCGTGGTCTGAGGTTTCAAAAAACTGGGGGACCCTTTTACGAGATTTATTAGGCATTTGCTGCGCGCAACCCTCTGCGGAGAAATTTCGCGTGGTTGAGGTCAAAAAAAAACTGGGGATTTTTTATGATTCTTAGCATTGCCCGCGCAACCCTCTGCGGAGAATTAGTGTGGTCGAGGTTCAAAAACTTGAGGAACTTTTTACGTTTCTTGCGGTGCGCGCGCAACCACTCTGCGAGATTTCGCGTTCGGTCGAGGCTCAAAAAACTGGGGACTTTTTACGATTTTTTAGCATGCGCGCGCGACCCTCTGCGGAGATCGACGTGGTAGTGGGTTCAAAAAATGAGGGACTCTTTTTACGTTTTTTAGCATGCGCGCGCGACCCTCTGCGGTGATTCGCGTGGTTTCGAGGTTTCAAAAAACTGAGGACTTTTTACGATTTCTGCAAGCGCGGCGAACCCTCTGCGGGAGATCGTGCGTGTCGAAGCGCTCTCGCTGTGGCGCCGTGCGAATTTGTCCTTGTTCTCGGCGAAACCCTCTGCGGGAGAATTGTGCGTTGTCGAAACGAGATGCGCTGTGGCGCCTGTGCAATATTTTTCTTGCTCGCGAATACGGCCCCTTTGGAAGTGGTCTCGTGGTTTTTGCGCGATAGCTTTCGCAATCCCGCCGGTCGCGGGTTCGATTCCCCCCTGGTCCCGCGGCAGCTCAGGCTGGAAAATCGCAGCTTTTAAGTACAAACGTAGTACGCGGAGCGTGCTCCTGCAGCTCCGGCTGGAAAATCGTAACTTTTAAGTACAGACGTAGTGCGCGGAGCGTGCTCCCGCAGCTCAGGCTGGAAAATCGCAACTTTTAAGTGCAAACGTAGTACGCGGAGCACACCCCCGCAGCTCCGGCTTGAAAATCGCAACTTTTAAGTACAAACGTAGTACGCGGAGCGTGCTCCTGCAGCTCCGGTTGGAAAATCGCAATTTTTAAGTACAGACGTAGTACGCGGAGCACATTCCCGCGGCTCCGGCTGGACAATCGCAACTTTTAAGTACAAACGTAGTACGCGGAGCACACCCCCGCAGCTCCGGCAGCACTTGCGCAGAGCAACTTGCGCAGAGTCACTTGCACAGGGCAACTTGCGCTCAGCGAATTGCACAGAGCACTTGCACAAAGCACTTGCGCAGAGCACCTTGCACAGACCAACTTGCACAGAGCACATGCGCAAAGCGCTCGCACGGAGCAACTGGCGCAGAGCACTTGCGCACAGCAACTTGCTCAGAGCACTTGCGCAGAGCAACCTGCACAGAGCACTTGCGCGCAGCAGCGTACAGAGAGCAACTTGCCCGAAAGCAGCCTGGAACAGTGCAGCTTGCGCAGACCACTTTCGTGAGAAACCATGCAGCGCAACTTGAGCAAAGCACATTGCGCTGAGCAGACTCGCGCAGAGCTACGCTTTATAGAGCCAAGTTGCGCAGAGCCACTCGCGTAAAGTAGCTTGCGCTCGCCAGGTAGTAGCGCGCCAAGTTGCGCAGAGCCATCTTGCGCAGAGCTAAGTTACACGAGCCTGCTTTGCAGAAACATACGCTTTCATGACATAGCGATTTTTGTGTCTGACTCGGGCAGGAGCCGGTTGCTATTGGCTTGTTTCTTTTTTCCCGAAAGCATCGCGAAGGGTTCTTCCGTGCGGAGCCCTTGGACAAGTTACATAGAGCCAAGTTACATAGAGCCAAGTTACATAGAGCCAAGTTACATAGAGCCAAGTTACATAGAGCCAAGTTACATAGAGCCTAGTTACATAGAGCCAAGTTACACAGAGCCAAGTTACATAGAGCCAAGTTACATAGAGCCAAGTTACATAGAGCCAAGTTACATAGAGCCAAGTTACATAGAGCCAAGTTACATAGAGCCAAGTTACATAGAGTCAAGTTACATAGAGCCAAGTTACATAGAGCCAAGTTACATAGAGCCAAGTTACATAGAGCCAGTTACATAGAGCCAAGTTACATAGAGCCAAGTTACATAGAGCCAAGTTACATAGAGCCAAGTTACTTAGAGCCAAGTTACATAGAGCCAAGTTACATAGAGCCAAGTTACATAGAGCCAAGTTACATAGAGCCAAGTTACATAGAGCCAAGTTACATAGAGCCAAGGTACATAGAGCCAAGTTACATAGAGCCAAGTTACATAGAGCCAAGTTACATAGAGCCAAGTTACATAGAGCCAAGTTACATAGAGCCAAGTTACATAGAGCCAAGTACATAGAGCCAAGTTACATAGAGCCAAGTTACATAGAGCCAAGTTACATAGAGCCAAGTTACATAGAGCCAAGTTACATAGAGCCAAGTTACATAGAGCCAAGTTACATAGAGCCAAGTTACATAGAGCCAAGGTACAAGAGCCAAGTAATAGAGCCATGCTTACATAGAGCCAAGGTACATAGAGCCAAGTTACTTAGACCAAACCAATTTACTTAGAGCCATGTTCCAATGTTAATAGAGCCAAGTTACATAGAGCCAAGTACATAGAGCAAGTTTCATAGAGCCATAGTTACATAGAGCCAAGTTACATGAGCCAAGGTTACATAGAGCAAAGTTACATTTGAGCCAAGTGGCACAGAGCCAAGTGGCACAGAGCCAAGTGGCACAGAGCCAAGGTTAGGTAGAGCTTGCCTAGAGCTTCGGCGTAAGCAGCTATGTAAGTTAGTTCAGGTTTCTAAGGCGCCGGGGCGGGAGTTTGATCATCGCTCGGGATTGCGACCCTCTGCGGGGATCCGCGTGGTCGATGTTAAACACTGAGGACTTTTTACGATTTCTGCGGTGCGCGCGCGACCCTCTGCGGAGATTCGCGTGGTCGAGGTTCAAAACCTGAGGACTTTTTTCGATTTCTGCAAGCCGCGCGCGACGCTCTGCGGAGATTCGCGTGGTCGAGGTTGAAAAACTGAAGGAGGGGAAACACTTTTTACAGATTTCTGGCGGTGCGCGCGCAACCCTTCTGCGGAGATTCGCGTGGTCGAGGCTCTCAAATATGGGGGGATCTTTTTACGGATTTTTAGCTATGGCGCCGCGCGACCCTGCTGCGGAGAAGTTTTCGCGATGGTCGTGGTTCAAAAAAATGAGGTCTTTTTTCGATTTTTGCAGGCGGCGCGCGACCCCTGCGGAGATTCGCGTGGGTTCGTCGCTCGAGGTTTCAACCCCCACTTCCCAACCCACCCCCACACCCCCCCAAAAACTGAGGGATTTTTACGATTTCTGCGGTGCGCGCGCGACCCTCTGCGGAGATTCGCGTGGTCGAGGTTCAAAAACTGAGGACTTTTTACGACTTCTGCGGTGCGCGCGCGACCGTCTGCGGAGATCATGCGCGTCGAAGCGCTCTCGCTGTGGCGCCGTGCGAATTTGTCTTAGTCTCGGCGAACCCTCTGCGGAGATTGTGCGTGTCGAAGCGCTCTCGCTGTGGCGCCGTGCGAATTTGTCTTAGTCTCGGCGAACCCTCTGCGGAGATTGTGCGTGTCGAAGCGCTCTCGCTGTGGCGCCGTGCATTTTTCTTGCTCGCGAAACGGCCTTTGGAAGTTGTCTCGTGGTTTGCGCGCCTGCTTTCGCAATCCCGCGGTCGCGGGTTCGATTCCCCCCTGGTCCGCGGCAGCTCCGGCTTGAAAATCGTAACTTTTAAGTACAGACGTAGTGTGCGGAGCGTGCTCCCGCAGCTCAGGCTGGAAAATCGCAACTTTTAAGTACAAACGTAGTACGCGGAGCACACCCCCGCAGCTCCGGCTTGAAAATCGCAGCGTTTAAGTACAAACGTAGTACGCGGAGCGTGCTCCTGCAGCTCCGGTTGGAAAATCGCAATTTTTAAGTACAGACGTAGTACGCGGAGCACATTCCCGCGGCTCCGGCTGGACAATCGCTATAAGTACAAATAGTACGCGGAGCACACCCCCGCAGCTCCGGCAGCACTTGCGCAGAGCAACTTGCGCAGAGTCACTTGCACAGGGCAACTTGCGCTCAGCGAATTGCACAGAGCACTTGCACAAAGCACTTGCGCAGAGCACCTTGCACAGACCAACTTGCACAGAGCACATGCGCAAAGCGCTCGCACGGAGCAACTGGCGCAGAGCACTTGCGCAGAGCAACTTGCTCAGAGCACTTGCGCAGAGCAACCTGCACAGAGCACTTGCGCGCAGCAGCGTGCAGAGAGCAACTTGCCCGAAAGCAGCCTGGAACAGTGCAGCTTGCGCAGACCACTTTCGTGAGAAACCATGCAGCGCAACTTGAGCAAAGCACATTGCGCTGAGCAGACTCGCGCAGAGCTACGCTTTATAGAGCCAAGTTGCGCAGAGCCACTCGCGTACAGTAGCTTGCGCTCGCCAGGTAGTAGCGTGCCAAGTTGCGCACAGCCATCTTGCGCAGAGCTAAGTTACACGAGCCTGCTTTGCAGAAACATACGCTTTCATGACATAGCGATTTTTGTGTCTGACTCGGGCAGGAGCCGGTTGCTATTGGCTTGTTTCTTTTTGTTTCGTGGGCAGCGCCGTCCTTCAGGGCGAAGTCAAATTTACCTGCAGTGTTTGCAAAGAGTGTTTGGCGCATTTCCACATGCAGCATTGAAGCAAGACTTCTCAGCAGCAGCCTTTGCACCCGGCAGCCGTTCCGATAGTTTTTGGAGCACTGCGTGCGCACTTGAGTTGAGGATCCGCATGAGTTGAGGCTCGGTTTACCTTGAGACATGCTTTTGCTTTTGCGCCGTCGGCAGCATATTTTCGGAGCCCCACATGTAGAGCAGTAGAGCAAGACTACCCAGCAGCAGCTACATTTTCTACAGCTCGCCAGATCGAAGCCACCGCATCGAGCGTGTTGGGCATCGGTATAGTGTACTAACCGCCGCATCGAGTGTATTGCTTGCATGGCGCGCGGCGATGGTGACGCGCTGCAGCGGCTGTCCAAGGAGCAGGCAGGGCCCAGACAGGAGCAAGACGCAGAGGCACAGGATGCACGTCGCTTCACCTGCTTCGCGTTGTCGTGCTTCAGCCACGCATGTGGAGTTTTGCGGGTTAGCAAGTGAACGCACCAGTGAATGCACGACCAGCGAAGCTTTGGTATTCGATAACATTAGCTATAGGCCAGTTTTGGGCCTAGAGCAGTAACATTGTGTATTTAATGATCCACTCTTGGGGCATCTTTTGTGTAGTTGTGGCTCAGGATCGTGCGGCCACCGAGTCGCAGCAGCTACTGGACACTCTGCGAGAAGGCTATGCCGCGCGGGGAGCTGGCTGGCTGCGCCAGGAGCTCACCAAGCGGACCGCCGTGCAGCTGCGACAGCTTGCTGGCGCCGCGGACGTGCAGCAATACGAAGCTGGACGCAACCTGCCCAAAGCGGAGCTGCTAGAGAAGGTGGCGCAGCACATTTCCGAGAAGCAGGCGCGATGAGGGACCGACGCCGCGTTGCTCAGTTGGGCTGCTGTTGCCGCGCAGACCTCCTGCGGCGTTGTCGCGTTGAAGCCGATGTCCATGTGGTTTCCACAGCATAGGTCAGTCCCGAGGCATAAAACAATTCGATCGCATTGGCTATGATAGGCCGGTGTTGGGGCATCTGTTGTGTAGTTGCGACTCGCATCTTTTGTGTAGTTGTGGCTCAGGATCCTGTGGCCTCCGAGTCGCAGCAGCTGCTGGACACTCTGCGAGAAGGCTTTGCCGCACGGGGAGCTGGCTGGCTGCGCGAGGAGCTCGCCAAGCAGACCGCCGTGCAGCTGCGACAGCTTGCTGGCACTGCGGGCGTGCAGCAACGTGAAGCTGGACGCAACCTGCCCAAAGCGGAGCTGCTAGAGAAGGTGGCGCAGCACGTTTCCCAGGAGCAGGCGCGATGAGGGAACGACGCCGCGTTGCTCAGTTGGCCTGCTGTTGCTGCGCAGACCTCCTGTTGCGTTGTCCCGTTGAAGCCCATGTCCACGTGGTTTCCACAGCATAGGTCAGTCCTGGGGCATAAAACAATTCGATCGCATTGGCTATGATAGGCCAGTGTTGGGGCATCTTTTGTGTAGTTGTGACTCGCGTCTTTTGTGTAGTTGTGGCTCAGGATCCTGCGGCCACCGAGTCGCAGCAGCTGCTGGACTCTATGCGAGAAGGCTTTGCCGCACGGGGAGCTGGCTGGCTGCGCGAGGAGCTCACCAAGCGGACCCGCGCGCAGCTGCGACAGCTTGCTGGCGCCGCGGGCCTGCAGCAATACGAAGCTGGACGCAACGCGTCCAAAGCGGAGCTGCTAGAGAAGGTGGCGCAGCACGTTTCCCAGGAGCAGGCGCGATGAGGGAGCGACGCCGCGTTGCTCAGTTGGCCTGCTGTTGCTGCGCAGACCTCCTGTTGTGTGGTCCCGTTGAAGCCCATGTCCACGTGGTTTCCACAGCATAGGTCAGTCCTGGGGCATAAAACAATTCGATTGCATTGGCTATGATAGGCCAGTGTTGGAGCATGTTTTGTGTAGTTGTGACTCGCGTCTTTTGTGTAGTTGTGGCTCAGGATCCTGCGGCCACCGATCCTGCGACCACCGAGTCGCAGCAGCTGCTGGACTCTGTGCGAGAAGGCTTTGCCGCGCGGGGAGCTGGCTGGCTGCGCGAGGAGCTCGCCAAGCAGACCGCCGTGCAGCTGCGACAGCTTGCTGGCACCGCAGGCGTGCAGCAATACGAAGCTGGACGCAACGCGTCCAAAGCGGAGCTGCTAGAGAAGGTGGCGCAGCACGTTTCCGAGGAGCAGGCGCGATGAGGGAGCGACGCCGCGTTGCTCGGTTGGGTGGCTTTTGCTGCGTGCAAGTTTACAGTGCGATATGCGCTGCGCTGTTTAGAGACGGAGTGCTTGGGTTCGCGCGCGCTTCTCCGTATTCTATCGGCCTGAGGATACTGCGGGGCGTGCCAGCGCCGACGACCGCGTTACCGCAGATGGCTTGCGGCAGTTGGCAGCGGCGCTGGGCGACGGGGCGGCCCCGAGTCTTCGGGCCCGACTTCGTGGAGTTCCACTGCGCAATGCTGAGCCGTGTTTACAAGGATTGGCTATGGAGCTGGGCGTCCCGTTCGAGAATATCACCAGGGACACATTGGTTCATAGGATTGTCATGGCTTTGTGCCCGCTGGCTGCTCCAGGCGCTCAAGCGGACATCAAGTACCACGTATGGCGATTGCTTCGCAAGCTGCGTGATGCCCGAGCAGAAACTGCTGAAGCTGTGGCTGCTGCTGCGCGGGACATCGTCGAGTCCTCGAACTTGTGCAGGGCTGCGGCGGCGTACTGTTTGGATGTCACCGTGGAGGTCATTGCCCGCAGGCACTGCTCTGCTGCTGAAGAGGCGCGGATACTCGTCACAAGAGTTGTCAGCGCGTTGCAGCAGTGGCCTGCAGTGGAGGCTGCGCTGGCCTCGCAGGTCGCTGTCACGTGGGAAGACGCTGTGGCTAGCTTGCAGGTCGTGGCGACTCCTGGCCTGTGTGTTCCTTTGCAGCACGCGCTGCTGGCTGCCGTTTTGGACGCTCGCGGTGACCACCGAGCAGGCTGGATCTGTGTACTGTAATAAGTGTTTTTGTCTGCTGGTTCGGACGTCAAGGGTGCAGCTTGCGTTCTGTGTTTTCTGCGCCTCTTCCTGAAGAGCATGCCAGTCAGGCTGGTGGCGGCTGGCAGACTGCCAGGAGAGGGCAGACCCTGTCGACGTGGCCTCGCGTCTTTGCTTTCTGGCCGAGTTGGACGAAGAGCCGCCTGCTGCTGACACCGACGGCTACGAAGATCGCAAGGATGTTTTGGAGGCGCGTTTGCCTCGGCTTGGGTGACCGCAGCGGGTCAAAATCTTGACTTGTCAGGTTCGGGTTTGAGTAGGAAGTGAGGGGGGCACACATTTGCAAGCGCAACCTGACTAACGCAAGATAGCTCGTAAGCCCGCGCGAGCTATCCGCGAGCATCATCACACGCACAGCAGCAACATCGCCAGCATCGCCAGCATCACCAGCATCGCCCGCCTTCGGAAAAACCCGCGCGTGCCAGGTCGCAGCGCGCAAGTTTCTCTGTACCGCCTTCTAGCTCCATTTATCGTGGGATGAAGCCCTTTTCCGGGGGGAAAATGCCTCGCGCAAGAAAGGGGGCGAGCTTCGAGGTCGCTTGTATGTTTCAATTTGTTCTTGAGATTTCTGACCGCAGGCGGTCCTGTGCATGCTGAAGCACAAGTACCGGTCCCGCAAGTTCGACGAAGGCGACACTGCGCTGCTGCGGGCTCTGATGCGCCGGTATGGTTGGGACCGACGCTCGGAGCAGGGAGGAACTTGCAGATGGTCCCAGACCTTCAAAGACGTGCGGAAGTCGGAAGATTGGTCAGCGTTTGCCTGGTTCTTGGCGGTGGAGCTACTACATCCTCTGGCTAGCATTGGCGTTCGTGACCTGCACAGCCCCATTGCGGTCGCCGAGGCAAGGGGCGGCGAGGACGGCATCGACGCTGACGTGCGTCAGCTGCGGGATGACCTGATAGCTTGGCAAGTGGTCGAGGGCTGCTCCCGCATCCCGTCCTCGGAGGAGCATCCGCAGCTGGCCAAGCGTGTTGAGAGGCACCAGACGAGCGGTGCCAGCGCCCGCCTCAAGGCCTTGAAGAAAGCCTATCCGCCGGACTTTGCTCCGCTGGCAGCTTTTGCCCTGGATTGCCTCGCGGAGGGCGCAGACTCGCAAGCAGGCGTTCTTTGGCGCTCCGCAGCGGAGCGGGCATTGGTCTTCGGCATCCCGCCTGCGCGGCGACCATCCCGTGCTTCGTCGCCTGCGCGGCGACCATGAACGCTTTCGGCTTGGCCATGGAGCAGGGTGACCTACAGGCCGGGCACGGGCATGATCTTAGACAAAACCGCTGTTTTCAAGTAGCTGCTTCTCCGCCTGCGCAGTTGCTTGCCAGGAGAAAGTGGAAGTGGCGCTGCACGCAGCTTGGCTTGTCAGCGTTCTGGGGGATCCTGTCTACACTCCGTGCAAGCACTGCGGCACCAAGATTGACGGGCTGACGAGGAAGTGCAAGCGAGCCGACTCCAACAACTGCCAGACGGAGGCCTCGGACGCGCCTCGCGTGCTTGCGACGGTGCACATTGCGGACTGGAGCGGGCAGCTGGACAACGTTTTGGTGGGCGGCTAGGAGCTCGCGGTCTTGGCCCGCGTTGACGGCGAAGCTGCGCTGGCTCGAGCGATTCAAGACAAAGGCGCGCACGTGCTGTGCTTCAAGGGGCCTTTCGATCTCCGTCTGGGCACCTCGCCTCGACTGGCCACGAGCCGCGGCGCCGCGCCCTCGGCGTCGCAGGCATCTCAAGCGTCTGCTCCTGGAACCTCCGTGACAACTCAGTTCCAAGTCTTGGCCTCTCGCGCCTGCTTCGGCGAGGGCTACTCGGATGGGGTCCGGCCCATGGTGAACAAGGTGACGCGGCTCTTGAACCAGAAGAGAGATGGAGCCGTGCTGCCCGTCCAGAACTTGTACCAGGACATGTCCTGCTCCGACATGGGTTCTTTCTTTTTGCGTGGCGAGGTGTTCGCGAACTACGTGACGCTTCTCGCAGTCGCCGAGGACGACCCTGCCATTGACGAGATTGACGTGGCCGGGGACAGACACCTGGTCACGAAGCACGAGAAGGTGCACCCCTACCCGCGCAAGGATGGAGACGCTGCATTCGCCATCGAGGCTTTCTGCCACTTCAAGAGCTGCCATCTGTTCAACATGGCGGACGGGAGTCCGCGCTTCTTGGTCGGCCGCGTGCTGAAGAACGAGAACACGGGCGGCATCACCTTGCACGTGGAGTGGATGTCGCGGGTGAGTCAGGACCAACTTCTCCACTTGCAGGAGGAGCGCGACATGGTGTGGTGCCTGCTCGGGCTGGAGCCTCAGCTGCAGGACAACAAGCGCCCGGCCAGCAGCCTCGTCGATGAGACTCATGAAAGTGAAGTGCTCGACGTGGTCGAACGCCTAGCGGGCGCAAGCCACTGTCTTGGCCTACGGCTTTGGTCTTGGACGACGGCCAGTGGCTTTGTTTTGACGCGCTCTGTTCTCTCCTGGCCCGGTGCGACGCAGTGGCCGCTGTCTTGCGAAAGCTGCGCGAGCACCGGGCTAGGAGAGCGCCAGCATGAGGCGCGTAGAAATCACAAAAGGCATCAGCTGACGCAGTGCGTTTTGCTTGCACGCGAGCCGCAGCTTCGCACCCCAAGTTAGCTTTTCATGTCGGTCAGCGTTTTGCTCGAGTTGCGTAAACTCACGCCTGAGCTGTTTCTGTTGATCGCATGGCTTGCTCACGGGCTTCCGAGGCAGAGGATGTCGCGGAGGCGGATATGGCTTGGATTCGAGCTGCCCAGCTTGAGATATCGGAAAGGTACGCGCGAGGGCCTTGGACTGCTGTGGATTACGCAGTCTGGTTTTTTTGCTACGACCTGGGCAGCATCGCCGACTGGCCCGTGGACGCCGTCGTGGTCCAGACCGCTCACCGACAGAAGTGCTTGCTGGGCAGCCTACGCTCCGCGGCTGACCTGCGAGCGGCAGAAGCCCTCACGGGCACGCGGGCTTCGGTTGTTGTCAGCGTGTGCTGGGAGGCGGAAATGAGAGTGAGAGGAGCTCCGCGAGACTGGGGCGCGCACTTTCAGGAGAGCGGGGTCACTTGCAGGTGCCGCTCGACGACCTCCGGATTGTCTACGCGCGGAGGGACTTCAATGTGCTGTTCCACTGCTTCGGCGGCATCAACCGCAGCCCGGCGCGCTGTGCGCGTGGCTAGTCCTTGATGGGCAGTGCACCGTGGACGAGGCAGTGGCTGCCCTGCTGGAGGCTCGCCCAGCTCTTTGCCCGTGGCAAAGTCGAGACTACGTGCTGCTTGCGCTCAACCGCTTGCGAGCGCAAAAGGCGAGCTAGACTGATCGGCCGCGGCGCGGATCGTGCTCAGCGCGACTGCTTTGCTGCTTCAACACTGTCTTGCGAACTAGTGGCAGACAGGAGCTGCGCGCGAGCGCTGAGGAAAAAAAAAAGCGCAGGGTCTTTGCGGTTGTTGTGACTTGCTCGCGCCTCGAGCTGCGTCGCTATCTTACTTCTCACGGTTTGCGCGCTCCTCGTCAAACATCGACCCGCGCACGGCACCAGCTCAACTTCGTGCACGATGTCTAGGAGCTTGACCGAGTGACGCTCTGAGACGACTTTTTCTCCACAGGACATGATGTGTCACACCTTTGTGCATGTGACTGGCTGCGAGGACGACTCTGCTCGGCCTCGGTAAGTCCCGAGATGTTGAGTAAGGGGGTGTCCAGCGGCACCCGGGAAACCAAGGATGGCAAACGCCGTGTAATGCGAAGTGTGAATTCAGGCGGCTTCGTCTGCCTGAGGTGCCTCAGGGCTTCAGGGCGCGACTGCCCGCCGCGGACTGGCTGCGCTCTTGACGCAGCCGTCCTGGATGAAGGAGGCCGACTATGGGTCCTGCTGTCGCGCGCCGCCAAGATGAGCGACCTGACGCTCGTTGCGCTGCCCGATCGACAGTACTTCGAAAGCTTCTTGCACCAGCGCAACGGCATGTTGGTCGAGAGGATGAGGAAGCTCAAGGAGATGTCCGCTCGGAGCACGAACAGCGAGGACCCTACAAGCTGATGATGGCCCCAGCAGCTTTTCATCGCTGACTGTCGCGGATTAGTGTGATCTATCTGTTTTCCCTGTGATCTAACGTGATCATTTGCTTTTTGGCCATTTTCGATGCGGCTGTTTGGAACTGCGCGGCAGTGACACTCTGCTGAGGCACTGTCGTGGCGCGAGACGCGCCTAGCGGTAGAAAAGAAGAGCTACGCTGGAGCCCTCCGATGCCCTCAGCTTTTCCCTCAGCTTGGCTGACAGCAGCGAGTCAAAATCTCGACTTGTCAGGTTCGAACTTAAATAGAGGAGCTGTTCGGGTGCACTGCGCACTGCGCGCTGCAGTGGAGGGGTCGCACGGCTTTGTTGCCCCTCCATGTTACCCCCGTGCACCTGGCCTCGGAAAGTCAGAGACCCTGCAAGCTGATGATGACCCTGCAAGCGCAATCTGATTAACACAAGATAGCTCGTAAGCCTGCTCCGCAACATCGCCTGCGTCGCCAGCACCGCCAGCCTTCGCAAAAACCCGCGCGCGCCAGGTCGCAGCGCGCAGGTTTTTTTTTTGCGGTCTCTAGCTGCCACAGATCATCAACATCACCAGCATCACCAGCTTTTTGGAAACCCCCCGCGCAGAGCCAAGTTACATAGAGCCCAGTGGCACAGAGCCGAGTGGCACAGAGCCAAGTTGCACAGAGCCAAGTTGCACGGAGCCAAGTTGCACAGAGCCAACTTGCACAGGGCAAGTTACATAGAGCCAAGTGACATAGAGCCGAGTTACCATAGAGCCAATTTACCATAGAGCCAAGTTACATAGAGCCAAGATACATAGAGCCAAGTTGCACAGAGCCAAGTTGCACAGAGCCAACTTGCAAAGAGCCAAGTTACACAGAGCCAAGTTGCACAGAGCCAAGTTGCACAGAGCCAAGTTGCACAGAGCCAAGTTGCACAGAGCCAAGCTGCACAGAGCCAACTTGCACAGGGCCAAGTTACATAGAGCCAAGTGACATAGAGCCGAGTTACCATAGAGCCAATTTACCATAGAGCCAAGTTACATAGAGCCAAGTTACCAGAGAGCCAAGTGACATAGAGCCAAGTGACATAGAGCCAAGTTACATAGAGCCAAGTTACATAGAGCCAAGTTACTAAAAGCCAAGTTACATAGGGCCAAAAGCACATGATGGGAAGCGCTTGGGGAAAAATGCTTTCGGGCCAGTCGTCCTCTAGTTTTACGCACGCCTTTTTGCATCCAGCGGCAGTGAGACCCAGGGAACCCTCAACCCCCCCCACCCGAAACGGCCGCCGAGAAAGGCGAACGAAGCGCGCGCGCGCCGACGTGGCGACTAGCCGCGCAAAGGCAGAAGGCTGGGCCCGGACGGGCCAGCCAAAGCAAGGACATCGGCGAGGTCGGGCTCTCCTTGCGCAGCCGGCCGCGCGGGGGAAAGCCAACGTCCTCCGAGCAGAGTGGAAGCGAGGGCGCGCTGCAAGGCGGCGCTGAGCAGTGCCCACCACCTGCGGCGCCAACCCGCCTCGGCCGCGCGGCGGACGGCTGGAGGCGCGCGGAGTGCCCGAAGGCGCACCAAGCGATCAACTAAGCCGCACGCCTCGGGGCCCCACCGCCCGCCCGTTTCACAAGCAAGAACGACCAGCCGCTGCGGGCCAGGCCGGCAAAGCTCCGGGTACCGCGCCTCCTTGCGGCGCCGCGCTACCGCAATGGCTGCGCCGTCCTCCTCGGCCGCGCGTGGCTGCGGTCGGCCGTCGCGACGGAGGGGAGCAACGAGCGTGGCGTCGCAGCACAGCGCTTCGCCCAAGCGCGTGGCGCCGGAAAGAACAAGATCCAGGCGGCGCCTGTCCTGCGCACTGACGCCTGGCGCAGAAGTGTTGGCCAACCACTGCTGAGGGACAGTTCTGCCCTCGGGTCCCAGACCTTCACGCGCGACGTGGACCCACGCTTGTTCAAGCAAGGGGGCGCGGCGGGCCAACAGTCCGCTGCGCGGGCACGCTGCCGCATGGTCGCCCAAGACATCGAGCGCGGCGCCGCACCCCGGGAACCCATCGCCTCCGCAATACCGGTGCGTGAGGGGCAGCGCGAGACGCAGGCGCCTGCGCAAGGCGACGTGCATGTGCGCCGGGGGCAGCGTGGTGCCCGGGTCAGTCGGCACAGCCGCAAGCCAAGCCCCCGCATGCGGGCCAGACTGCGAGCGGAGACAAGCGCGGTCGCTCGGCCGCATGTGTGGCAGAAGCTCGGTCTCGCGAAAATGGGAGTTGAGTGCGCGAGACGCGAGAAGCTGCCAACCATGCGGCCAATCGCCTGGTTCACTGTCATCCGCTACAGCGGGAGGGGCCGCGCGCGCAAGGATGTCCTGCCAGGACGGACGCTCGGGCCAGTGGCGCCGGAGCAGGTCGCCAGCGACGGCCGCCTCGCGAAGGCAAAAGGCGGCAGCTTCGTCGTCTACGAGGAGCTCCCGCACACATCGCTCCGCCGCATCAGGGCAACGCTGGAGCATGACCGGCAAGGAATCGGCCCAGGCCGCCCAGTAGGCGCGTGTGGCACACAAAAAACCAAGACCGCCCTCGCGCGCTGGAAGAAAAGCAAGGCGGCGGGCCTCCGGCCAAGCGGCGCCGCGCTCGCCGAGGAGCGCTTGCAGTGCGCCCCAGACCGCATGGTCATGTGCTTCCGCGTACGCCGCCGATTGGGAAGGCGGCACGGTGCGGAGCAAGTGTTGCGCCCGAGGCGCGGCGCAAAAGAGGAGCAGCAGCCAGGCACACTGCAAGTCAGGCGCTCCTGCTCCAGACGCTCCCTCGCGCACGCGGCCACGTACTCCGGGGCGCCGATGGGCGTGCCGAGGGCAACAAACCCACGCTCGGGCAACGGTTTGTCGCCACGCCACGCCTCAGGGCCGAGCTCCGAAATGCCCGGCGGAGCGGCGCCCCCGGCGCGATTGTAGACGCGCGTTTTGCCTAGGTTGGCGGCAACCCCGGCAAGTTCCTCTACGGCAGAAGAAACCGCTTCGAGTGCGGCGCGCGCGCGATTGGGCACGGTGACGATATACAAGTCGTCCAAGAAAGCAGCGAGAAACTCTCCTGGCCGGAGCTGCTGGGAAGCCGCCACCAGCGCCGCGTGCTGCGCAAGGGCAAACAGGGCGGGAGCCAACGCGTCGCCCTGCTCACAGCCATCGCCCTGTAGGATGCGGTGGCAGACTCCGGCACCGTCCCACCACAAGTACACCGATTGCCGCGCATAGAAGGCGCGGACAAAGGGTACAAGCGAAGGCGTCACTTCCGCGAGTTTGTCGAGAAAAGCAGCCCGGGACACCGAGTCATAAGCGCAGCGCCCGTCAAGAGACACGACGGTGGCTGCGGGGTCGAGCTCGGTGGCAGCGCGAAGCAAAGCGGTCAGGCCTGCTCGCGGGAGCGCCCTGCTTGCCCTCCCTCCCGCCGGCGCGTACGCCCGCGTGGCGGCCGAGCAGTGAGGGCGCGCTGCAGCCCGTGCTCCCGGCCGGCCCCTGACAGCCTTCTCGGCGCCGGCCCCGGCGCCTGCATCCGCACCAGCCGCCAGGCCCCCGCGCTTGCTGCCTGCCGCGGCCTGCGCGTTCGGGCCTGCTACGGCTACCCCCTCCGCCACCTCGGCGCCCCCGCCCCGGCGCGCTCGTGCGCCCGTGCCCCCCCAGCCGACTGCGGACTGCGCCTTGGCGACGGCTCCCCCCGTCGCCACCTCGGCGCCGCTCGCGTCGTCGCAGGCCCGGGTGCCCCTGGCCTCCTCTCCGTTCCTCGGTGCCGCATTCGGGCCCCCCGGCGCTGCCGCGGAGCCTTCGCCTTTCGTGGGGGCCGGAGCTGCCGCTCCCGCCCCCCCCTCGCCTTTTGCCGCCCTGGGTGGTTCCGCCGCTTCCCGGCCGTCTCCATTCGGCGCGCCCTGGGCCGTTCGACAGGCGGGTGTCTCTTACCGCGCCGGTTCCTAGGTGCCTCCCGCCCTGGCGGCCGCGCCTTCGACCGCCCCTGTGAACGCGGGCTTGCTCGCTGCCTAGCCTATTTCGGCGCGTGGCAGACAATAGCAAGCAGACGTTGTTTGCCCTCAGGTGTGCCGCGACCGCCCGGGCCTCAGTTTCTCGCCTCGCCGCCGACTAGTTCAGCCGCCTCAGCTCGTGGTTTTCGGCAGGTTGGCAAATTCGGATACCCGCTGGCACCTCGGGGCCTGCTCGCTGCCTGGCCTGCTTTGGCACCTGGCAGCGCGCAACAAGGTGTGCTGCAGTCGCCCGGCCCTCAACTTCTAGCTTCGGTGCCGCTCCGGTTAGCCGCCTCATGGTTCGCGGTACCAAGGCCCGCCCAAATCGCCGACTTGCTAGGGTGTTGTGTCAGCAGCTTGGCGGTGTCTTGATTTCTGCCCGCCTCTTTTCGGGTAGGCTCACTGTTCGGCAGGCAGCCCTCTGTGTTTCCCAGCCTTCCTCCGGCTCGCAACTGTGAAAGCCCACCGGCCCCCACTGGCACTTGCAGTCTCAACTAGTTTCCTTTTCCCGCTGGCTGAGTTTCGGTCCCCTTTTCCGGACGTTGCGAGATCAAAAAGAGCAACCCGAGCGGCTTGGCTGGGCAGAGTCGGGGGCTGCCGTTTACGCCTGCGTCGGCGCAAAAGTCGCGACTCACAGCGCAACCGGCGTTGCTTGCGTGGTTCCCCACTGCTTCATGTCCGGGCGCTCGCGCAGCGCAACCCCCTCTCGGCGGCGCGTGCGGGAGAGCCCGGAGGAAGCTTTGCTTGACGGGGCCACTGCGCCCTCGCAGCCCGCCGCGGTCACACCGCCTCACGTTCTTTTGCCGCCGGACGATTCGCATCCGCGCTCGGAACCAGACGTTGACAACGAGCATCTTTTTGTACAGTTTTGCCAAGCTACATGACTGCCTCGTGTGTTCCCTGTGTCCTTCATGGACCGTAGTCTCCTGACTCGAACGGGGCAAAGGCAAAGGCAAAGGCTCGGAACCAGACGATTGCTGCGTCTGCCTAGAGCCCCTCCGCCCGGACGGCCATCACGCTGCACGCCCGGTGCCCCTGCCAGTTTGCCCGCGGCACGTCCTCCATCTTGGCTGTCTGGCGCAGCTCCGCGTCCAAGCGCGCCGCCCCAGCGATGTTGCCTGTCCTCTGTGCCATCACGGGGCATGCCCTGTGTGCGTAGCTGGCGGGTGGGCCCCGGAACATGACGACCAGCTGACAGCTTGGTGCCGCGAGGCGGGCCTTCATCCACCGTCTCGTCTTCCGGACCGGCGCACCGACCAGGCCAGCGTCGCGGGCCAGGACGCCCCGGAACCGCAGGCGCCGGCACATGTCGTTGTTAACTGCTGCCGGAGGTTGGCAGCCGTGCGCGCGGGCCCCTGGCAAAGCGATCCTGATTTCATCGAACTTGTGCACCGCGCCGCGCCTTGGTCGCCAATCCCTCGGCGTCCACCTGGCTTGGGCCACCCGCGTTCTGTCGCGGGCGGACGGCTACATCATAGCCCCGGCGCAGGAGGCCTGCTTACAGGTGTTTGGCGGGCTGCGGTTTGCTTCGGCGCTTGATCGCCACGCCAACTCGTTCCGGCTCCCCCCAGCGCCTGCCGCGGCCGCGCCTGGCGCGCCTGCCGAGCGGCGCGGCCTGAAACGCTTGCGGCTGGCCGCAGTGGGGGCAATTGTGCGCCGACGCCTTCGCCGGTCCCAGTCGACCTGCCCGAACACGCGCCGCCGGCGCAGGACCGACCGGACGCTGCCGGGCGAGACGGCGTTGCCCCGGCTGCGCCTCGCCGACGCCGTCGCCGTCCCCGCCGCACGCATGGCACTGCCGCGGGGCCTGGTCCTGCCGCGGCGGGTCCCCATGGGGACGACACCGACAGCACCCTAAGCTCTGTTGCGCGGGCCCTCGATCACGCCGCTGCTCAGCGGGCGGAGGTTGACGCCGAGCCGGGCGCAAGCGAGGGCGAGGCTTCCAGTGCGGCGGCTCGCCAGGCGGCGCACCCCTTGCCGCGAGTGCCGCGTGCTTCCTGGGCGTGGCTGGACACCGTTGAGCTCGCCGCTGAGTTTGCGAGCCCTGCTCCTACTCTGCAAGGGGTTCCTGGCTTCATGCTGCCAGGAGCGCGCCGAGCATGGGCGTTCGCTTTGCGCGCGCTGTGCACCGATGACCCCCGGACGGACGGGGGCCACGCACATGCGCGCTTGGAAGCTTTTCCTGCTGCTGCCCAGGCTGCTGTTCACACGCGGCGCCTCTCGGGGCGCGGAAGGCAAGGCGGAACTCCTGCAGCGCATCTCGGACTTCCACGCCGGCCGCTGGGAGGCGCTGCTGGACCGAGCGCGCGCCCTTCAACCTGGCGTGCGCACCTCGGAGCTGCCCACGTCGGCGCAGCTGCGTGCGCGTGCGTGCGCCCAGGTCCGGCAGGGCGACTTGTCCCGCGCGCGGCGGACACTCACTTCAGCCTCGCGATGAAGCAACCCTGGCCGCCTTGTCCGACCCGGACCGCCGCCCGCCACAGCCTCGAAGGCCGCTTCCGCCGCCGCCCTCTCTGCCGGCGGCCGCTATCCGGCTCGATGCCGCCGCCGTAGCGGACGCCCTCCGCACGGCCAAAAAGGGCACAGCGGCGGGCCTGTCCGGCGCCACGGTTGACCACTACAAAATCCTGCTGGCCGATGAGGCCACGCTTGCGCTGTTTGCCGAGGCGGCAACGAAGCTAGCCAACGCGGATGTCCCAGAGCCCATACTCGCAGCGCTCGCCCTAGCTCGCCTCACGGCGTTGCAGAAGCCCAGCGGCGGAGTGAGGGGCATTGCAACTGGCGACACCTTTCGTCGCCTGGTCGCCCGCACGCTCGCCCGGCGCTATGCGCGCCGCTTCGATGAGGCCACCAGGCCGTACCAGTTCGCGCTGCAAGCGATGCCGATGATGGCCAAGATGGCCGCCAGGTAAAATTTCCACATCGTCTCCTCATCTCCGGGCTCCGCCTCCATTGGCCAGCGCCACAATCAGCGCCATCTGGAACTCGCCTCTTAGTCCACTCAGGATCTTCTTCATTCTCTTCGTCCACCATGTTCAGCATGTAGAGCAGTCCACGCATTCTCGCTTTGCTGAGCACCTTGGTCCCAATGTCACTGCAGTTGATGGCTGTTGGGATTTATTTTCTCACGCACTTTTTTGCGTCTGCCCAAGCGGTGAAACACGTGCTTAAGGGGGAGTCCCGGGCACTAGGACACAAGCACAGCTAGGGGGTGGCGTGGGCCGGCACTAAGGAGGGGCGGGGGCGCCAAGAACCGTCACCGAAGACGGGTGACGAGGGGCGGCGGGCAAGCCGAGTCGGCAAGGAGCTCGCTGAGCCGCCAAAGCCAGACCGGCCTGCGCTGACGCGACCCTCGAGGAGAGGCTCGGCGAAGGACAGCTGAGCCGCAAAGGACAGGAACGCCGACCAGCGAGCAACGAAGGCGGCAGCCGTGGCGGAGCGGAAGGGAAGGGGCACTTCACGCGCCCGAGCTCGAGCGAGGAGGCGGACGAAGGACGCAGCTTCCTCGCTCCACCGGCCACCGACCTCAAGGGCGAGGACAACGAGGCGGCACCGGTGGGCTCGGAGGAGCTCGGGGTAGGCGCGCTCCTTCCGCAGGCGGGTTTCAACAAGCGCTGCGCCACGAGTGCGCCCCGGCGAGGCCGGCCGGCCGAGTCCAGGGGGGACACGAGAGTTGTGTCAACGGCGAGCTGGGCGCCGCCCCACAGCGGGAGACCGTTGGCGACGACTTCCAACCGGCGGTCGTCGAGGCGATCGACGGCCAGGTTGAGGTCAGCCAGGCGGGTGTTGGAAGTCACCCGTGCCCCAGCTTCACGGCAGACCCGAGAAGCGGCTCGCTCAAGGCCGCGCCCACGGCTCCGCAGAACCCGGGACGTTGAACACGCTGCACGATGGTCGCCAAGAGGCTCCAAACGGCGATGGCATCGACATGTGTTCTCAGTGACAGGGAGTGGGAGACGGAGGCGACGGAGCAAGACCGTCCGGAACAAGTGTGAAGGGGCGGTAAGTTCGGGGACCGTCGGGAGGGCCGTAAGGACCCTGCTGGCGAAAAGGCCTTGCTGGGACTCCAGCAGGGCGAGGGCTGCAGGGCCGAGGCCGGCGGACAAGCCCTGGAAAACTTTTTTTTTTTTTCACGCACCTTTTTGCGTCTGCTCAAGCGGTGAAACACCATCGCAAGTGAAACGCCGGCTGGAACAGACCAGCACCCGCGCCGAGTGCGAGGCAAGCAGCTCAGCCGCGCAAGGGCAGGCGGCTCGCGCCCGCATCCGCGGCAAGCCGGAGCACGTGCTCCAGCGGCGGCTCGGGCAGGCCGGGGCCCTGAGGCGCTGCCGGCCATGCGCGGCCCAAGGCCGTGGACCCAACGGCCTGCTGCACCGCAACGGAAAGCTGCGCCCACCAACGCCGCTGCCACCCTTGGGCTGCTGGCCGGCGCACGGCAGCAGTCGCCCGCTGCCAGCCACGGGCGGGGTTGCCCGTGACGAAGAGACCGTCAGTCTCGTCAGGGAGAGCGGGGAGCTGGGAACTTTCGAGGAGCTCAGGCCCACGGAAGCTGCCAAAGAGCCGAAGCCCGACAACACCTGCTGCAACAACTCGGGGACTTGCCGTTGTGCACCGGCAAGCTGTCAGCCCACGAAGCCCAGTATGCGGCGGGCGCGCCACGGCCGACCGGAGCCCGAGACCACCAAGGCGAAGAGGCGCACGAGCAAGGTCGAGAGTTGAGGGAGGCAGCTTGGAGAAGCGCCGACAAGCAATCCCCGATGGCGACATCATGGGCCAGGGCAAAATCAACCGTGGAGTCAACCGTGGAGTCGGGCGGCAACAGACGAAGCACATGGTTGGACCGGGGCGAGCAGCAAAAACAACAACAAAAGCCACGAAGCCTGAACATCTTCCAAGCCCAGAAGCCGCGTGAGCAGGACACCGTGACTGCCCGCCAAGGGGCGGAGCTGCGCCGCAACGAAAGGGCCGACCCAACAGGCACGCCGAGCACAAAAAAACCTTGCTGGGAAGTGGCCAAGGACCGCGAACCAACAAAAACGGGATCAGCGCTGGAGGCCAACTCCGACTCATGCCCAGTTGCGCCGGCGTCGAGACGCATGTGCGCGTGTCGCCACAAAGCGTCCGAGAGCATGTCGAAAATCGAGCGGATGCGGTCCGGACGGGCAATCACGTACACATCATCGAGAAAAGCCAGAAGCAACTCACTGGGCGCCAGCCGGGCCTGAACCTCCGCCAACGCAGCTCGCTGGCCCAAAGAAAAAAGGCGGGCATGCCTTGCTCTCCGCCCTCGGCTTGGGTGACGGCGTGTGGTTGACCAGCCGCATCGTGCCACACGAACTCCGAAGGCGAAGCGCAAAACTGCCGCACAAAAAAAAAGGCAGCGATTCGCTCCGGGCACGGCCTGGAGGGCCTCCAACATGGCTTTCCGAGAAACGGTATCGAAGGCCCCGACCCCATCAACAGACAAAACGGTCGTGCCGGGGTCGAGCTCGACAGCTGCAGTTGGGGCATGGACCAAACAGTCAGCCCCTGCTCGAGTCGGCATGCTGCTGAGCGAGGGTGCGAGCCACAAGCCGTCGGAAAAAATCACTGACGACTATCCCCCGGACACGCCCAGACGGCTTGCGCAGGGCAATCAAGCGACCCAGGCCGAGCGCAGGAACAACAACAGCTGGTATCTGGGCACGGGCCAGGAGCTGGGCAACCTTGCAAAACCGCTCGGAGCCGGCCTCATTGTCAAGAACGAGCCGGGCGGTTTCCGCTGTGAGTCCGGATGGGCCTGCCGCAGCCCCTTTTTTAGCTCTGCGGAGGTTTGCCAAGAAAGCCTCCCGACGCAACGTAGCAGGCTCAGCAGGCTGGAACCCCAGGACCTCAGGAGGAAAGCGAGTCGTAAGGCGCCGCGGGGCGGCGAGAAGGGTCCCAGAGTTCGGCCAAGCCTGGGGCTAAAGGGGCTGCGGCAAAGGCTTGCCGAGACAGCTCGCCGAGATGCACCAGTCCGCGCTGCTTGTGGGGTCACGCTCAGGCGGGCGTGGTTCCGTGTGGGCTTGGGCCTGGGCTTTGCTCAAGAGGCAGGGAATGACGCACATCCAAGAGCAGCTGGCTCCAGCGTCTCTCTTGGAACGCGGCGAGGCGGGCCCGCCACTCAGATTTCGGAAGCCGGCGTTCGCCCGCTTTCCTGTGGAGCAGCATGCGGGGCAACAAAAGCCAGAGTTTCCAAGCTCGCTCGGCAGCAAGCGGATGGACAACTGGGTCCCCAGCTTCGAGGATTGCTTGAAGGGAAAGAGACAAAGCTTGGCGGATTTGACCTTTGACAAAAGCTGGGGGGGCCTGGAACGTGTGGACCTTGAGCCGGAGGAGGGCATGAACATCGACGGGATCAAGGCTGGCAAAGCCAGAGCGCACGCGGATGTCAGCAACAACAAGGGCAGGCTCGGGAAGTGCAACGCCAGGCTCCGACCCCAACTCCGTAGGTGCGAAGGCAGCCCGGTCCGACAAGGGGGAGCCCCCCGGGATGCGCCGCCGGGGACCCGGCCTGAACGCCCGGAGATCTAGAGATCTTGCTCGGGCTGCGCCGGGCTTGGGGGAGGGACCGCGCGACGCGCGAGAGCAGCACAGTCGGGCAAAGGCTGCCCAGGGCCAGGCAAGTCCAAGGGCAGGGACGTGTGTGGGCAGGGGGCTGGCACGCCCGGACGGGACCTCGCCATCGGCGGGTGTGGGCACGCGGGCGGGGGGATAGGGACAGCAGGAGTTGGGGATTGACCTTGCGCAGCCGGAGCAGGGGCGGGATGCGCCACTTCCGGCGCAGTAGTCCGTATCCGTTGAAAATCCCGGGCGGGCGCTTGGGCAAGGGGGTGGTTGCGGCAGGCAACGCTTGGCCGGCGGCCCCGACACGCCGTAACGCATCGACTTCCTGAGGCGGCACTGGTCGGCCGTCAAGGCGGGACGCGACTTGCAGGCCTTGGAGGGCCTCGAC